TCTGGTGATACCAGACTGGTGTGGAAGAGTGGAAAGACCTGAAAAATCTCCATGAGGCACTTTTAGCACTTCCCCTGACTCTCAACCCAAAGGGGGAAGCCCACATCTACCTTTGTGGTTATGAAACCTGCCCAAGGCTCCCAATAACCAGTGTTTCAGTTGTGACTTGTTTGCTATTTACAGCAGAGCCCTTGCCAGCGCCTACTCAAAAGAGCACAAACAGGAGTCTCTATTAACTAGCTGTTGACACTTTGACAACACTTGGATCCAAACAGATGGCTTTTCTTCCACACTGCTCTCATGCTTCCACTTGCTACGCTGTGAAAGCTATGAGGAAAACCTTATGTGTTTCCTGAGGAAGCTTTTCTTTCTGAGGAAACATGGGAATTGGTCCTGTTCTCCCTCAGCTGACAGCAAAGTCCACAGAGGATGCCACAAGCAGGGGATGGAGCAGCAAGTGCTGGGAACAGACCAACACAGAGAATGGACAGCACAGCATCCTGGAGAGGAACAGCTGAAAACTCCCTTGGTACTCATTTTCCTCTTTATGTTTGATCTAAGCTCATTGCAACAAAAACCAGCACCGATGCTGAGGATAAAATACCATGAGCTACTCCTGCTATTGATTCACATGAATTATGTTCCTATGAAGTATCTGGTGGCTGTGTAGAAACACAAGTAATGACAATAAAATCCACTGAAAACGCATGACAGAATATCACCCGACTTGCTCTGCAGAGCCTCAGACAGTGCATCCTATTAAGATACATCATCAATGCCATCCCATTAAGATCTAACAAATTTGAGGGGTTTAAGTCCAACAAGGCACCCTATGGGCGAAAAAAGCAGAAAGCAAAGGCTGGGATAAAATCCCTTAATAAGCAGTTTAGAGTCATTTTCACCTTTTGGGATCGTTTTCACCTTTGCTCAGAGGATATGTTAATGGAAATCAGATGGACGGAGTCTGGGGATAGGAGGTCAGCTCAGAGGAGCAAGAGCTTCTCCCCCTGAGGCTGGTGATGGCCTGAGACCTCATGAAGTCTTTACTGTTATTGTATTCATCACATTGCAGCCTTGCTCAAGTGCCTCCCTCAAGCTGAGGCCCCCGATTTGCACTAAATTACACAAGCACACACAGAGATGTGTTCCTTGATGGGTGACATATATTTTGATGGATCAAAATGAATATGACAATAGCATTAAAAAGTTGCTTGGGATAGTTCATCCCTAATCATGCCAGATGCACTTAAAGGAGGGATCTCTCAGTCAGACCCATGGCCAGCATCAAACAGGAGAGATGAATTAACTCCGATGATAAAGAGCATCTTTTACTTGCTTTCAAATAGGTAAAAAGGAGGATCAGCTGCTTGGCAAACACCATATAGCATCTTGGAAGGATGTCTCCCTCCCCAAAAGATGCAGAGCTCAGGGCTTATGCTGAAAGGTCAATGTGGAGTCTGAGGTTTGAAAGGCAGTGCATGATTTGCACAGACTTCATCTGCTTTCTGAAGGTTACCTTTCCTAGGGGTGTTTTCAGCACAGCAAATGGAGGGGCTTGGTAAGAGTTAATGGGATACCACAAGGCTCTGGACAAATCCATGAGGACCAGCAATATCGTGGCTGCTCCAAGTAACTCAGGCCCCATGAGGTCCCTCTCTCACAGGCTACAGATGGTAAAACTGAGTATCAGATAATTTAAAATATATATATATGTATATGAAAAAAATACAGATACACACACATATATATAAAATCACAGACCTGTGGAACTCATCACCACAATATAACAGATTTTATCTATATTCAAAAAAAGGATGGATATTTATGGTAGGAGCTCAGTCATCCTAGCTAGGGATTTCTCCACTCTTGAAGGAACACATTCAACTCCATCCATCCCAAGGCAGGAAGAAATCTTGTTTGTTAATCACACCGTGGGGATTATTTCCACCTTCTCCCTGGGGCTGGGAAGCCAGACCAGGTGGACCACAACCAATTGATGCCCCAAACCAGTTGCTTGTGTTGCTTCAAGGCCCCAGAGTCACCCCTGGCTTGGACCAACCACATCCTCTGGCCCCACAGCCCAGCAGATGGTGCTCTCGGTATTAGTTAATACTCAGTTAATCTGTGCCTTTTCTTTCTACTGAGAAACTCCAGCATGGTCAGGGTGTGGAGAAACACCACCAAGAGCAACAAGTTTGTGTTTTCCTAGGGCACCAGCCAGGTTACATGGTCCAAAAACCAGAAACATGGTTTTGAAGCACCTGAAGGCAATGGTGGGTTATAGGCTCTAGCATGGACCTTCAAGCCCTAATGCCATGTGTAAGCCTTTGGCTATCCCATTGTGTTGAGCCAAAGCACTGGGAGAGATGGGAGAAGCAAAGGCAGTGAGGAATATGAGAATGCCCCAACACTCATGGAATGGGTTCCCAGGGAAGCTGTGAATGCTCCATCCCTGGCAGTGTTCAAGGCCAGGTTGAACAGAGCCTTGGGTGGGTTTAGAGTGAAGTGTCCCTGCCCATGGCAGGGGGGTGGAACTAGATGACCTTAAGGTCCTTTCCAACCCTAACTATTCTATGATTCTATCATTCTATAATTCCATATGCCAATGGACCTGTGAGCTCTTCAGAAACTCTTGATGGCTTCCTCCACAGGATCAGTCTCTTGAGTGATACCCACAGCCAAGATAGCTGTGGATAGGCTGGGATGGTTGGTGGAGTTTAGTATTTCTGCTGGCTAGAGATATGTTTTCTACTTGAAGGCAAATAGCAGGGAGAGGTTGTACAGGGCCACCAAGGGATCTCCATTGCCCAACATGATCAGCTTGCACCAGCATCCACCAGCTGTGAGTTCTGATGCACTCTGAAGCCCCTTTCACAGCTTTTGTTTCCCCCCGGTTCTCTACAACAGCAGTGTCTGCCGTTCTAATGCCCTTTGCAGTCTGTGATGCTCATAATTACACAAGGTCTGGAGAACTGGGCTCATGTTGTAGAGGTGATCCTGAGGCTGTTCCTTTGGCCCAGCAGGATGGACTGCTTTCCTTCCGTGTTTCCAGCTTAACAAGGCTCTCTTTAATTTCTTCTTAATAAAACTTGGGGCAAAGGGGAACATTTAACGTGCAGTTAAATAAGAACCAGAAAGCACACCATACCGGCTGACTTCCGAAACACCAAGTGCATTTGCTACAGTTATCCATGGGACGTCAGCAATGAAATAAAACCTCAAGCACAGAAGCCTGACCACGAAGCAAAGCAGCAGCAAGCTCAGGGGCTTAGGGGTTTTTACTAGCAACGTACTTTTATCGCTAAGAAGCCGGAAAGGAGAGAGCATTAAAGGTTGCCTGCATGGATATGCAGCAGCACTCCAGCCGTTTAGGTCCATAATGAGTTTTGCTGCCTCTGAGCAGAGCACAGGTAATAACAGATCATAAAGTGGGTTTACCACCCGAATTGCCAGTCTCTGAAGGTTACTAAAAGCCTGTTCAAATGAGCACGGTCAGATCTGCCTGCCTGTTTCCAAATCACCACCTTCTTAATGGTTAAGCTGAAACCTCTGTTTCTTCCCTCATTGAAATAGGTGAGAATTGGGAGCAGAGCAAATGAAGCCAACCTGGCTTTGTCCAGGAGAAGAGTCTGGCCAAAATCACCCTTTGTTACCCTTCTGATTATACCACTGTTCCAACCCAAAAGAGACCAAGTTCTGTAAAAGAGCAAAAAGCCTCAGACACATTCACTGGAGTGGTTTCAGTGCCATGTGTTGCTGCCTCTCAATGGAACATAGAGAGAGCATCACTTCCCAGCCTACCTCCTCCCATCCCCCTGAGCTGGTGTCACTGTCCCTGGCACCAGCATCTCCTTCAAACCCCCACCAAAACCATACTGGTTTTCTGCTCAGCTTGGAGCAAAGTTTCTCTTCTTAGACCCAGCCACTGAGAGAGGGGGAAGGATTGTACTGTTTGTTTCAGAAACATAATACATCTGCTTGGAGCAGCCTATACATGTACTTGCATTAACAGGGAGGTAGGAAGGCTATGTGGTCCTAAGCCCTTGGGTAAGCCAGGAGGGTATATACAGTGTTCTGCCTGAGGGAAGATGTGCAACTAATTAGGAATGAGATGTTAAAAAGCACCAAGAGGTCAGTGAGAGTAAGGGCTCAAGCATGGACTTCCCCCAGAGGATGGTGCCCAGGACCTCAGACCACCTCTGCAGCACCCCATCCCAAGTGATCTTGATGCAGGGCAGAGTATGTGCTTCTGTGCATTTTACTTAAGAACCATTCCACCTTTTGGAGAAGCCAACTCCATCTTGTACACATGCTTTTTTAGTTACAGCCACAAAGAGAAGCATTTCAATTGTTCCTGTAGCAATGATTTATCTCCATGTTCCTTGCCTTTGTCTGTGTGGGAATGTGCATTTGTGGCAATGTGTAGTGTGTTTTAATGTTTTCTGCAGTTGTTTAGTGGGTCCCCTTCTGTAGCCTTATGGACCACCATGGGATGAGAAACTGGGATGAAAGATCCAGAGAGACAGCCTTGTGCAAATCCAGTGTCATCCCTTTGAAGTCCTTGGGGCTTCTATGGCAGCCAGAAGTAATTAGTGAGAGAAAGGGATTGTGAGAGCCATGCTGGCTCACCATCAGCGCTTCCTGCTGGCTCCAAACAAAGCAGAGCTGAGCCAATACTGAGTACTCTTGGAATTACGACACCAAATATCCAACCTCTTTATTGAGCATGCTGTGGAGCTCAGAGACAGCTCTCCACAGCAGGACTTACCCCATCAGCACAGTTTTTTAGCCAAAATACACCAGATGTTCAGGTGCTGTGGCTGAGCTAGTCAGTGTTTCGCCTATATCCCAACTGTTCCTCCTATGCCACTATACCCATAGAGTCAGGCTCTAACTTCCTTAGCAGACTAAGCTCAAGGCAGACCAGCACAGGCAGAAATTACCAAGTGACTTCATGCAGCTCATAGATTTGCAGAGAAAGTCAAAATGGTCCTTTCTACCTTACTAAACCTCTTGCTTTGTTACCTCTGCCATGGAGTGCTGAGCTTTGGTGACTAGAACCACTCCTCCCTCTCGATTCATGCAATGGCTCTTGCCATATACTTGGTGTTTCTGCTTGTCATTTTCTCCCCTGCCTATAAAGCAAAGCAGGTAAAGTTTGAAGACACTTGACTACTGCTAAACCAGTCAGCTCCCCCATGCCTTCCCCATCCCTACATGGATGCTCCCTGTAGCTGGAGATACCATCTTCCCAAAGATGCTCCACTCACAGGGGAAAATCCCTCGTCCACTGCCAAGGTAATTTCAGGTCTGGAGTGTGGTTGGAGGAGATTCACTTGGGGCTATTTTGGAAGAAAGCTAGGGAAGAAACATTAAATGTGCATCCTGGAAAGGAACAAGGACTCTTCCTGCCTTTTCCCTGCTAGGCACAGCTTTGAGAAGCACTTTGTCTCCGTTTTTCTTCTGCTACCTTGCTTTTTTCCTCCCATCTTGCCCCACTACCCCTTCTTCCTCCCCAGCTACCTCTTAGCAAAGTTACTACTGCCCATGGCAAATACTGTGGGCATCACCAAGGTCAGAAGTGACCTCAGGAAGTCTCCAGTCCTACCTCCTGCTCAAAGCAGAGCCAGCTTCAGAGCTGGGTCCCAAGTTCTGCTGGTGTTTGTAAGCTCTGTGCTATGAAGATGAGCACAGATGTGACAGCAAAGTGGGCTTGGGGCAAACCACTGAAATTCCCAGAGCTGTTTTCAAACAGTAAGTTCTGACTCAGCCAAAATCATTTTACATGTGGAAGAATTTTGATTTTGAAGGGATTGGACAGCAAAACCCCAAGAACGCATCAGTTACTCTACCCATTCCTTTAGTTTGGTGCGTGTTTTGTATCACTTCACCTGGTGTTTAGACTGGAACTAAATGGTCCACTTCAGTAAGGTCAATCCCCTGTTTCTGACTGCATTTCACAAGAATTTCCGCTCAGCGGAGAAAAACTTTGACTTCTCTTTCTAATCTGGATCAAAAAGTGTCAGAACATTTCATTCCATGCGATGGGAATGTGACTTTCCAGACAGCTTTCCTTGCTGTCATGAAGGGGTAGCTGCCTGAGACAGTTCATGAAGGCTTTGAAAGTTCATACAAAGGCTCTAAGCTGGCAACTTGTCCCTCAATCCTTGCATCAACTGCCAATAGCATGTGGATGGGATTTTCCAGGGTCCCCCCAAAGAACTGGATATACGGCTCCCAAGGGGCCTGAGGTCTCCGGTTCTGCTCGGCTCCCTTTGAAGAGTCCTAGCCTCTTCCAGTCTGCTTTAACCAGAGTGGGCCTCTTGCTCATGGGAAGCATTGTTAAAAGTGTCACCTCCCACCAAGAAAAGTGAAGAAGGGAATCAAAAAGCCACATGAAGAAACTGGAATATCTACAAACTGCTTGGAGAGTTCATTCCTAATTCATATATCCCGATTTACTATTGAAAACTGCTATTAGCATCTTATGGCATTGTAAGAAATCACTCTTGGTTTCCACTTAGCCTCAGATGGGTGGTTGGCACATATGTCTCCTGTTGTACTTGAATAGGATGGAAAAAAAAGAGGGTATGGAAGTGAATAGACCTTTTTGGATGGCCACATCTGGTCCCCATGTGGTAAGCCCATGCTGACAGAGAAAAGCTGCATGCTTTGGTTCTAGACAAGCTACTTTTTTATATATATATATATATATACACACACACACACACATATATATACACACATACACAACCACTTTATATATATGTGTAAAGATATATATACAGATAGATACTGAGCAAGAAAGAACTTTCAGTATTTCCTGAATCTTGCAGAGCCTACTTGGCCAGATGCAGACCACTGGGCAGCACTGATTTATTGCGGAGCAAGGATGCTATCCCATACATGCTGCCAGATGGCATGAAGCTGGGGAGAAGAGAGGAACTCGGAATACCCCTAAGTTGGGCAGGGAAGGAGCCAGGACAGAGAGCAGAATGGTTGATGTGAAAGATTGGATAGGCTTATATAAACTTTCTAACCCGAATGCAGAGTGCAGGTCCTCTTGATGGGTAAGACAAACACTTTGCCATCAAACCACATCAACCAGGCCGTGCCCTGATACCCAAAAAGCAGGGCTGACTGATGGATTCCCCATCTATCGCATTAGCTGGGATTTTTTTATTCATCAACCCAACCTCAATGGGCCAGAAAAGTCTGTCTTGCTCCACTCCTGTGGAAAGAGGATGCCTAGAGATGCTTCCACTTAGTTTCTACAACCCCATCAGTATTTATGCACACCCCTCCTTAAGTCAAGGCCTCCAAATTCACTTATAATTGTCCCACTATTTGCTTCTCAGCCACCTCACTCCCATCAGCAGTGGAATCCACACCACTAGCTGCAAGCCCAGTTTTTTAAGCCCACTTCAATGCTGACACCCCTCTCCTTAAGAGCAGAAGCCTCCACTTTCTCCATCTCCATGCAGAGTTGGTGTCTTCTTTCCTTAGCACCCCAGGACCCTGATCTCAACTGTGACAGAACAAATAGCACTGCTGGGGTGTTATGGCTCATCAACAGGACATCTTTAACTTATTATTAATTTAGATGGCAAACAAAATAAGCAGGAATAAACCCAACTTGTCTCCTCACTCCAAACATTCATCTCCCAAGGAACCCATGCTCTACAATATTAAAAAGGGAGCAAACCGTTAATGTGTGAGCAGTGCCCATGACCTGCTGCTTTGCTGAATTATGGCAAACAGCCTCCTAATAGTAAGGCCTTGTCAGAGAGGAGATCACTGCTGGGACTGAAAAACATTTGGACAGGATAAACTGGAGAATGAAACGGGCACTGAAGGAGTCTTCCCTTGGTGAAAAGGTGGATTTCCTCATTTCGAGGCCAAAAGACATCCACATATTTGTGTAAATTGGCATTTTTGTGAAAGTCCAAGGGGAAGCGGGATAAATCACTTTTCACTTCCATGTTGGAGATGGGTGTTTGATGTCCCTGTGTCTCTCTGAACCCCTGTCTTTCTGCATGCAGCCATCCAGCAACCCTTGCAACAGAGAGAATTAACACATCTTGCCACGCAGATGCACTCAGTAAAACCCTATCAGCCAGCCCTGAGCTAGCAACTAGGTTTGGAAGAGCACATAAAGCACCAAGCCAAGTAATGGAGCAGCCTTCAGCCTGCAGGGCAGCCAACTCAAGACCTATTTACACCCACACTATCAAAAACATTTCCTCTTATCCACAAGTTCTCTAACTGCTGTGGCTTGGAGGAGGCTCTCCGCCTTCTCCATGAAGGGAGCAGCTCCTATGGGTGCCATGAATCCTCACCCCGGCCTTCAGGGATAGCTGAAAGCATCAACACAAGCTCATGTTTCCCCACTTCCATGCAACAGAACACGCAGGGTGCCTGCTGCCTTGTGAGAAAACAGTGGAGTTGGTGGAAACTATTCCAAAACACTATCCACTTCCTTCCCCAGCCAGTGACTGCAGGACTTTCTGTCCCTACCCATGGCAGGGGATAGGAACTAGATGATGTTTAAGGTCCCTTCCAACCCAAGCCATTCTGTGATTCTATGATTTCCCATCTATCGTATCAGCTGGGATTTCTATTCATCAGCCCATCCTCAAGCTGTGCAGCAGTGTCTTGGGACAGGATCCCTGTAGGACCAGGTCTGAGGGGGCTGGTTTGTGATATGTCCAGTGACCTGCCCCAACACAGCAATGCTTGCCTTATGTTCACATGCATCAGCCCACCTGCAAGGCATCATCTGCATCCCCAACAGTTCTTTCATGCTCCTGAGCCAGCCTGCTATGGAAACTAGGTCAGGAATTCACACCGGCGAGGATGCAGGCTTAGCCATCATCTGCTTTTCTGGGAGAACCCTGCTCACAGCAGTTCTTTGTGCCATATTGGAGCAAAAGCGCCTGGGACTGATAACTGTCCTGCTTCTCTCTGCTGGAAAAAGACTGTCACATGTGCCTGCAAAAAGCTGACACTTTGAGGCCCCAGTTTTAATGAGAAATCTTTTCTTTCTCCCATTTTTTCAAAGGACCTGAAAATGATCTTCCCATAAGGCAGCGAAAAACATCAACAAGTCTTGAGTATTTGCATTTGAAGCTGCCATTTGTTATAAAAAACAAAGCAAATCCCCCCAATACCTGCTCAAAGCCTGTATTCTCTCAAATCCTTCTAGCCTGCAATACCATGTTTCTGCAGCATCTACCCACATTTAACATGCAGTTTAAGCATGTTCATACTCCTAAGTAAGCAACATGCATTAATTGCTGATGGGTTTTACCAGGGATAGAGGCATGGTTCCACAAGGGCATTAAGGAAACATTTCCCAAATACTTGCTCTTTTTTATGCTACAGAACACCAAGTAAATGACAGAAACCCCACATTGTTAGGAACTTGGGTAAGTATTACATTGTCTTTTCTTTAGATCTGGCCATAACTCTTGCAGCAGAGGAAATTTCTGTGGCTAAAACGGAGAATGAGAACAAGGGTTTGAGTAAATGGTCCTTGCACCCTTGGCTGGAGGCTGTGGATTTGGCTCAGCTGAAAGCAGAAGCAATTGGATTATGCAGACCATACACAGGAATCGAAAGGATGTCAGGTTTCCCCCTGCCCTACTCTCTGCACAGATGTGGAAATGGGTGGTTTGCAAGATAGAGAAATTCCTGGGTATCATCCAAACTAAAAGTCATTTTCCCATTATAAGCAGACTGAAACTAGAGCTGCGAATCCAACCCTCCTCAAAACTGAGCTGCGGTTTGGATGAGATGCCCTGAATATGGATCCGTTGACTCCCATTTTGATGTGGGGACCCCAGTCAGATCAGTTCCATAACACTGCTTCAGATGTGGCTGAAACACTCCTGCAAGCAACAGATCTTCCAGCATTTCCCTGCTTGAAAAATGGCTACAATTCCTGGTTTGAGCCAAGAAGCATGAGCACCGCTGGCAACATCTGTCAGCATCAACCCTAGCACCATTTGTCAGTGTAGTTATGAACCTTTCTGAAACCTAATCCCCAACCAACTTACACCACAGCAGCTTTTCATAGTCCTCTTGGAGGCCAGCTCAAGCACAGAGCTTTGCATCCTTTTGGAAAGATGGGTTT